GTCCTGGATCTACAGTCTCAGTCCTGGGTCTACAGCCTCAGTCCTGGATGTACTGCCTCAGTCCTGGGTCTACAGTCTCAGTTCTGGGTCTAAAGCCTCAGTCCTGGATCTACAGCCTCAGTCCTGCATCTACAGCCTCAGTCCTGGGTCTACAGCCTCAGTCCTGGATCTACAACATCAGTCCTGGATCTACAGTCTCAGTCCTGGGTCTACAACAGCCTCGTCCTGGATCTACAATCTCAGTCCTGGATCTACAGCCTCAGTTCTGCATCTACAGCCTCAGTCCTGGGTCTACAATCTCAGTCCTGGATCTACAGTCTCAGTCCTGGATCTACAGCCTCAGTCCTGCATCTACAGCCTCAGTCCTGGGTCTACAGCCTCAGGCCTGGATCTACAACCTCAGTCCTGGATCTACAGTCTCAGTCCTGGGTCTACAACAGCCTCGTCCTGGATCTACATTCTCAGTCCTGGATCTACAGCCTCGTCCTGGATCTACATTCTCAGTCCTGCATCTACAGCCTCAGTCCTGGGTCTACAATCTCAGTCCTGGATCTACAGTCTCAGTCCTGGGTCTACAACAACCTCAGTCCTGATCTACAGTCTCAGTCCTGGATCTACAGCCTCAGTCCTGGGTCTACAGCCTCAGTCCTGGATCTACAGCCTCAGTCCTGGGTCTACAGCCTCAGTCCTGGATCTACAGCCTGTCCTGGATCTACAGCCTCAGTCCCGGGTCTACAGACTCAGTCCTGCATCTACAGCCTCAGTCCTGGTTCTACAGCCTCAGTCCTGCATCTATAGCCTCAGTCCTGGATCTTTGCTGCGTCACAGGGACAGGTGTGTTACTAACGTGGATGCAAAGGGAAGCAAAAGTCCCCGGCCCGTTGTACATTTCTCCTTGTGAGATAAATAAAGCATATCTTATCTCTGTGATGGTAAGTGTGGCTTATGTATGAACAAAATGTACTGTATTCTTTTATATAGTAGGTGTATATACTGTACAGGTGTATCTTATCAAAACCATGTCCATTCTTTGGACTAGACTCACTCTCCTGTACTCTAACACACGTGCATGTCTGTGGTGTCTGTGGTGTCCGTCGTGTCAGTCGTGTCAGTCGTGTCTGCCGTGTCTGTCATGTCTGTGGTGTCCGTCGTGTCTGTGGTGTCTGTCGTGTCCGTCGTGTCTCTCGCGTCCGTCGTGTCTGTGGTGTGTGTCGTGTCTCTCGCGTCAGTCGCGTCTGTCGTGTCTCTCGTGTCTCTCGCGTCAGTCGTGTCTCTCGCGTCAGTCGTGTCTCTCGCGTCAGTCGTGTCTCTCGCGTCAGTCGTGTCTCTCGCGTCAGTCGTGTCTCTCGTGTCAGTCGTGTCCGTCGCGTCCGTCGCGTCAGTTGCGTCCGTTGTGTCCGTCGTGTCCGTTGCTTCCGTCGCGTCCGTCGCGTCTGTCGCGTCTGCCGTGTCAGTCGTGTCCGTCGCGTCCGTTGTGTCCGTCGGGTCTGTCGTGTCTGTCGTGTCTGTCGTGTCAGTCGTGTCCGTAGTGTCAGTCGTGTCAGTCGTGTCTGTCGTGTCTGTCGTGTCAGTCGTGTCTGTCGTGTCCGTCGTGTCCGTCGTGTCCGTCGTGTCTGTCGTGTCAGTCGTGTCCGTCGTGTCTGTCGTGTCTCTCGCGTCCGCCGTGTCTGTGGTGTCTGTCGTGTCTCTCGCGTCAGTCGCGTCTGTCGTGTCTGTCGTGTCTCTCGCGTCAGTCGTGTCTCTCGCGTCAGTCGTGTCCGTCGCGTCCGTCGCGTCAGTTGCGTCCGTCGTGTCCGTCGCGTCCGTCGCGTCCGTAGCGTCTGTCGCGTCTGCCGTGTCAGTCGTGTCAGTCGTGTCCGTCACGTCCGTCGTGTCCGTCGGGTCTGTCGTGTCTGTCGTGTCTGTCGTGTCAGTCGTGTCAGTCGTGTCCGTAGTGTCAGTCGTGTCAGTCGTGTCTGTCGTGTCTGTCGTGTCCGTCGTGTCCGTCGTGTCTGTCGCGTCAGTCGTGTCCGTCGTGTCTGTCGTGTCAGCCGTGTCCGTCGTGTCTGTCGTGTCAGTCGTGTCCGTCGTGTCTGTCGTGTCCGTCGTGTCAGTCGTGTCCGTCGTGTCAGTTGTGTCTGTCGTGTCTGTCGTGTCCGTCGTGTCTGTCGTGTTCGTCGTGTCCGTCGCGTCAGTCGCGTCCGTCGTGTCTGTCGTGTCTGTCGTGTCCGTCGTGTCCGTCGCGTCAGTCGTGTCCGTCGTGTCCGTCGTGTCTGTCGTGTCTGTCGTGTCAGTTGTGTCTGTCGTGTCTGTCGTGTCTGTCGTGTCAGTCGTGTCTGTCGCGTCCGTCGCGTCAGTCGTGTCCGTCGTGTCTGTCGTGTCAGTCGTGTCAGTTGTGTCTGTCGTGTCTGTCGTGTCTGTCGTGTCAGTTGTGTCTGTCGTGTCTGTCGTGTCTGTCGTGTCAGTCGTGTCTGTCGCGTCCGTCGCGTCAGTCGTGTCCGTCGTGTCCGTCGTGTCTGTCGTGTCTGTCGTGTCCGTCGTGTCCGACGTGTCCGTCGTGCCTGTTGTGTCCGTCGTGTCCGTCGTGTCTGTCGTGTCCGTCGTGTCCGTCGTGTCCGTCGTGTCAGTCGTGTCCGTCGTGTCCGACGTGTCCGTCGTGTCTGTCGTGTCCGTTGTGTCTGTCGTGTCCGTCGTGTCAGTTGTGTCTGTCGTGTCTGTCGTGTCCGTCGTGTCTGTCGTGTTCGTCGTGTCCGTCGTGTCCGTCGCGTCCGTCGTGTCTGTCGTGTCTGTCGTGTCTGTCGTGTCCGTCGCGTCAGTCGCGTCCGTCGCGTCAGTCGTGTCCGTCGTGTCTGTCGTGTCTGTCGTGTCCGTCGTGCCTGTTGTGTCCGTCGTGTCCGACGTGTCCGTCGTGTCTGTCGTGTCCGTTGTGTCTGTCGTGTCCGTCGTGTCAGTTGTGTCTGTCGTGTCCGTCGTGTCTGTCGTGTTCGTCGTGTCCGTCGTGTCCGTCGCGTCCGTCGTGTCTGTCGTGTCTGTCGTGTCTGTCGTGTCCGTCGCGTCAGTCGCGTCCGTCGCGTCAGTCGTGTCCGTCGTGTCTGTCGTGTCTGTCGTGTCCGTCGTGCCTGTTGTGTCCGTCGTGTCCGTCGTGTCTGTCGTGTCTGTCGTGTCCGTCGTGCCTGTTGTGTCCGTCGTGTCCGTCGTGTCTGTCGTGTCTGTCGTGTCCGTCGTGTCCGTTGTGTCCGTCGTGTCTGTCGTGTCTGTCGTGTCCGTCGTGTCCGTCGTGTCTGTCGTGTGTATCTGCCGCTGTCTTTTCTGTGACGGTGAAATGGAAAGGCCTCAAATCCGGTGCAGGAGGATCACTTTGTGGCGTCTGTTGAAAACATGTCACTTCTCTCGAGTCTCTTCTGATTGTCTATTCATTTTTAATTAGTGCCCGGCTCGGCTGCGCATTAGAAAACACAATGTGGTCAATTAACGGGTGAAGCAGCGGCGGGGATGATTGACAGCACCATCCGCTACCACTGAGCTGGAAACAAGGGAGAACAGAAGTCTATATTTCACCTGTTGTTCTCATTGATTTCTTTAAGTACCGGGCCAATGGGTTTCAAATATTTGTTGTGTATGTGTGTACTTGCATTATTACACACTTGCAACTGGTGTTTTCTTATTTATACTCATTTTTAAAGTGGGTTTTAAAGCAGCTACTCGTACTACAACTGCTGTTCTCTGCTGCTGTTGATGATACTACTCCATACTACAGATTTGTATTATTGTTTTTACCGCAAGTACTCAACTTGTACATTTCAGATACTACTACTACATTACTCACTACTACTACTACTGCTAAGTAAGTAAGTAATGTTTTATTTATATACACTACCGTTCAAAAGTTTAGGGTCACCCAAGTGTTTTCCATGAAAAGTCACACTTATTCACCACCGTACGTTGTGAAATGAATAGAAAATAGAGTCAAGACATTGACAAGGTTAGAAATAATTATTTGTTTTTTAAATAAGATTTGTTTTACATCCAACTTTGCTTTCGTCAAAGAATCCTCCATTTGCAGCAATTACAACATTGCACCAAAAACCAGACATTTGCAGCTAGAATAGTCATTTACCACATAACAATGTATAGAGTGTATTTCTTTACCGTTAAGACTAGTTTAAAGTTATCTACAGCTTTTCCTTCAAAAATAAGGACATTTCAATGTGACCCCAAACTTTTGAACGGCAGTGTATTTTACAGACCAAGGTCACCCAAAGCGCTTTACTATGTTCTGAGTTCAGATATTGATATTGATTTTGATATAGAACATGCAAACTCAACTCAGAAAGGTCCTGTTCCGACTGGGATTCAAACCCAGAGCCTTCTTGCTGAGAAGCGAGAGTGTTAACCACTCAGCCACCGTGCTGCCCTACTACTACAACTGCTTCTCCTACCACTGCAACTGCTTCTACTACTACTACAACTGCTTCTACTACTACTGCAACTGCTTCTACTACTACTACAACTGCTTCTCCTACTACTACAACTGCTTCTCCTACTACTACAACTGCTTCTACTACTACTACAACTGCTTCTCCTACTACTGCAACTGCTTCTACTACTACTACAACTGCTTCTCCTACTACTACAACTGCTTCTACTACTACTACAACTGCTTCTACTACTACTACTACAACTGCTTCTCCTACTACTGCAACTGCTTCTACTACTACTACAACTGCTTCTCCTACTACTACAACTGCTTCTACTACTACTACAACTGCTTCTCCTACTACTGCAACTGCTTCTACTACTACTACAACTGCTTCTCCTACTACTACAACTGCTTCTCCTACTACTGCAACTGCTTCTACTACTACTACAACTGCTTCTCCTACTACTGCAACTGCTTCTACTACTACTACTACTAAAATTTTACAACTACTACAACTCCCACTCAACTTTGTACAATACTGAAATTACCGATATCACGCCCCTCCTTCTCCATGCAGGAGCCAGTGGGCGGAGTCTCTTACCTTCTTGATGATGACCACGCCCTCCTGTGTGCCCTGATCTGTGATGATGTTGAAGGTGTCATGGCCGCCCACGATGGTGTACTCCATCTCCGCGTTCCGCCCGATGTCTGGGTCGTCCGCTCGGATGCGGCCGATGGCTCCGCCCACTTCTGTGGCCTCAGACGCCGTCACGCGGAACGAGTCTGGACACAAGAGAGAGAGAGGACTATAACTGTGTGCGACGCTGCTGCACCCACAAACCAGTCAACGGATAAAACGGCCAGAATTTATCATCAGGATCTTCAACTTTCTGCAGTATGTAAAAAAACTGGTCAAAAGTGGTACTGCAGCCTCTCCCACTCTCCCTGACTCAGGTTGCCAGATATGCAGACGAATCCAGCTGGGACCATAACAGCTGAATAGACAAGAGTTTTGTCAACAACAAATCTATAACCAACACCTTTTTCACAAAGGTAGAAATCCTTATTTTCTTGTTAATGATTTGAGAATCATAACGAGACCTTTTTTAGTTCTGCGTCACAAGTGAGACGCGGTGAGTTCTGGCGCCCGGATCACGGACTTTCTGAAACGGTGCATTGAAATGAAAACAAAAACAAGATTTAGGGGCTGGAAAAGTAATTTAGAAATCCAAATATCTCTGAACGACTGTTATCAGTTAAAGAAGTATTGGAAAAGACCAGGTTTTATCTTTACCTTTGGACAGATTAGGGCCCTTTAATTATTACAGATTAGGGCCCTTTAATGATGACTGAACATGAACAATCTTATATATTGCTTCTTTAATGTACAGAATGCCAGACTGTGAGACAATCCACACACGTCACACCAATATCCTTTACATAACTCAACTCAATGAATAAACGCAATAAAACTGCTCTGAACAGAATAATATAATTAAAAAACGCTCCAAACGTCACAATTTATCCTTCTCCACATCGATGTTGACGCCACATAATTGGATTGTGATGAAGGCTGGATTTAATAATGTCTAAATTGAAAGATAGAGTAGAGGTTTGTTGCAGATAAGACTCTTCTCATAACAACACAAACAGAAGTTACAAATAAAAAATAAAAATAGCCCAGACATGTACGTGGCTTTTTAAATGTTGAAAGAATGACGATAGAAATGGGAATTATCACATATATCTCCCAGCAACAAGACGGATACGGCTAAGTAAAACAGGATTGAACAGGTTCCTGACTGGCCTGGTCCTAGTCTGGTCTTACCATGTGTAAACTCTGGTCCATGATCATTTCCTACATGTACGTCTGGTCTTACCATGTGTAAACTCTGGTCCATGATCATTTCCTACATGTACGTCTGGTCTTACCATGTGTAAACTCTGGTCCATGATCATTTCCTACATGTACGTCTGGTCTTACCATGTGTAAACTCTGGTCCATGATCATTTCCTACATGTACGTCTGGGTCTGATCCTAGTGGCTGCAGTTTTCTCGGCTGAATCCCCTCCGACCAATCAGAGAGCAGGGGAGGCGGGTGTTGTAGGTCGGTGTCGGTGACGTCAGAGTTTGTCGGAGAATGCGATAGTAAAATAATCTGTTCTGGTTCAATCCAAATATCAAGAAACTGAAGCCGGAGCAAGAGGAATGTTTAGTAAATGTCATTGAAGCAAAGATGTTGTGGCTCTACTCCCCACGGTCTCCGTTAGTGGCAAAGGAGATGGCTAAAGCTAGGCTAAATGCTAAAGCTAGGCTAAATGCTAAAGGACTCACTCGGGCTCATTACAAACTTCACAGTAAACTCAGATCCAATCGTTTCAATCTGCAAAAGGAGTTAACCCCTCCCACCTGTTAATCGAGTCAATGGAGCAAATTCAAACCTTAGTACCAAATGAAATGAGTACCATCGTGCGGTAAGACCAGGAAGTTTGCTCCAGCTAGCTTATGTTCAATCATATCACTCGTCATCTTTCCCCATGTTACAGTTTGGCGAACTCACGGTTTGCGAAGCGCGGCGGGCTGTCGTTGACGTCGGTGAGAGTGATGCTGACGGTGGTGGTCCCGGACAGACCCCCCATCTGGCCCGCCATGTCTTTGGCCTGGATCACCACCTGGTACTGCTCCTTCACCTCACGGTCCATCCCCGGGAGAGCCGTCTTTATGGTGCCTGCGACAAACATGCATATTATCATTTCACAAAACAGAAAGGTAGAAATATCCTGTTGGGATTGTGTTGAACCGGAAAACGTTGTTTTCGTTTCATGAATACACTGCAAAAAGTGATGACAAATAAGTTGCAAAATGGCTAAAATTTGTATCTTAATTTCAACACATTTTGACTGCCTTAAAGGAGCAATATGTAAGATATTCAAGTCATTCATCATTTAAGGGCCCTAATCTGTCCTCATTAAAGGGACCTAATCTGTCATCATTAAAGGGCCCTAATCTGTCATCATTAAAGGGCCCTAAACTGTCATCATTAAAGGGCCCTAATCTGTCATCATTAAAGGGGCCTAATCTGTCATCTTTAAAGGGCCCTAATCTGTCATCCTTAAAGGGCCCTAATTTGTCATCATTAAAGGCCCTAATCTGTCATCATTAAAGGGCCCTAATCTGTCATCTTTAAAGGGCCCTAATTTGTCATCATTAAAGGGCACTAATCTGTCATAATAATAAACTTCTCTTTTCCAATACTTCTTTAACTGATAACAATAGTTCAGAGATAAATTTCTAAATTACTTTTCCAGCCTCTAAATCTTGTTTTTGTTTTCATTTCGATGTCCCGCCCTCCACCGTTTCACCAATCAGAAAGTCTGTGATCCGGGCGCCAGAACTCACCGGGTGGAGCTAATCTCACTGGTAAAGTACCATGTGGCGCAGAACTAAAAAAGGTCTCGTTATGATTCTCAAATCATTAACGACAAAACAAGAAATAAAACCAGGATTTCTATCTTTGTGAAAAAGGTGTTGGTTATAGATTTGTTGTTGACAAAACTCTTGTCTATTCAGCTGTTATGGTCCCAGCTGGATTCGTCTGCATATCTGGCAACCTGAGTCAGGGAGAGTGGGAGATGCTGCAGCACCACTTTTGGACACATTTTTACACACTACTCCTTTAAAACAAGATTTGCAAATGGGACAAAGCTAAATGATCTTGTTTTTAAAGATACAAGAAATGTCTGCCTTGAAATGAGAAAATAAAGCAACAGTCCTTGAGATTACACAAAGTGGCTTTGTCCCATCTCTCAAAATAAGATAAAAACCACACATATCAAGCAATTATTACCTCATATTTTCCAATTTTTTGCTGTGTAATGCATGATAGATGGTCTTTTCCCCGTTTCCGTCTGAAAAGTCTGATCTAAAAAGATAAATGTGTGTGGAATATTGTATCAGTTCAGATTCTTTATGGTTTGAACGTGCCCAGCTTTAAGTCTCTCTATATGTTGTTGTTGCCGTGATGTATCCCTCAGTATAGCATTAAGCTAGCCAAGCAAGCAAATGGAGAGTTTTCTGTTTGGCCACAACAGGCGGATACAGCGACCGCATCACTGCACTCTGATCCGTCTGTCAATCTCACGCTCCATCCTTTCAATATTTACCTGGGCCTCCCTGCGGGGATTCTTCTTTGCCTCCTTTTCAAATGTTCACAGTCGACTATTTGATGCAACGGCTTCTATAGTTGTATGTGAACAGTGTGAAGGGAACATGGACAAGCTGAGGATTCATTTCCACTCTTTGGTCAACTGGACTCGGTTCACTTCAGAAGCAAATGAACCGACTTATTGGGCTATTTATGAGAATAATTAACCCCATGTGTTACTTCAACCAACGACTCATACTGCAAAAAATAAACAATATGAGGTAATAATGGCTTGAATTGAGTGGATTTTATCTTAATCTGACACATTCTCAAAACATTTAGTCTAATTTCAAGATTTGTTGCTTTATTTTCTCATTCCAAGAGAGACATGTATGTGTTTTTTTAAATGTGTGTCAAGGCTCAGTCAGTAAGTAAGTAAGTAATCTTTTATTTATATACCGCCTTTTCACTGCAGATCTGAGTCTCAAAGCGGTTTACAATTGTTAATTATGGGCATTAGTCTCTCACTCCACACAGAGATGGGAGGGGCCAGTACAGGAGGCACATGCTAGAACTATTGGACATATTTTTAGTGGTAGGGGAAACCGGAGTACCCGGAGGAAACCTACGCAGACACGGGGAGAACATGCAAATTCCACTCAGAAAGGCCCTGGTCCGACCGGGATTCGAACCCAGGACCTTCTTGCTGAGAGGCGAGAGTGCTATCCACTCAGCCACCGTGCCGCCCAGTCAGAATGATCTCAAATTAAGATACATTTGGCCAAACTTGAGTAATTTCTTTTTTTGCAGTGCAGGCTGCTCAGTGTGGAGGTTAGATTCTAATGGTTGTATTTCCAGAGCCTTAAAGTACGAATCGGTCGTTGTCCTTGGGCAACACACTTCATTCTCATTGCTCAGTATCAGACGTGTGAATGACCGGCCTGGTTAGTCGGCCTCAGGGGGAGCCAGACCAAATATAATACTTTTCTTAGGCTGAATTTTTTACTCATGAAAAAAATAAAATTAAATAGATATATCTTGGCAGAACCATGAGCGTGGTCCCAGCTCCAGCACCGGTCTTTAAAGCCTTAATACTACAGCTTATCTAACCATATTAAACTGGGGAGGGCTCAGGGGCCTGATTGAAACATCGAAAAGGCCGCATCTGGCTGCAAATGGCGACATGGCACGCTTCTGCCAAAACAATTTCCAAGTGGTAACCTTTGTTTGTTACTTACGTGGCAATAAAAATGATTCTGATTCTGATCTGGCCCACGGGCCGGGGTTTTCCCACCAGCACCTTCGCTCAATGATGGATAAAAAAAAGTTCTCACTCTGGTTCCTATTGAGAGAGTCATGGTGTGGACTTTGTGTAAATGTATCTGGTTTCATAATTATGTGTAATGATTGTTTGTCGGCCCTGATGTGTTACTCCTGTGTGTCCAGTGTGTATCCAGACCCAGTCCTGTTCTCTTGGCGTCAGTCCACTGTTTTGTTCCCATGGCTTGTTCCTGGTTTTTACTTGGATGGATTTATTCTTTGGTGCAACACTCATCATTTTGGGCTTAACACATAAACGGTTCAGTCTTCACTCTGAGCTTTTATACTTCTCTTTGTAAATCCACTTCTCGCGGCTGAACGGTCGGCGCTCGGTAACTCGCTTGTTTCTCCAAAATCTGAATAAGTTGGATTCCAAATTCCTGCTCAAACAGCTCTGCTTCTGATCTACTTCTTCTGCATTAAGGCTAAAACTATGGTGACGCTAGCACTGGGTAATGAACTCCTAAATAAATACAGTAATAAACTTAGCCTGGTCGTACCACACCATAGTACAAATTACATTTCGTACTAAGGTCTGGATTTGCTCCGTTGACTCCGTTAACAGGTGGGAGGGGCTAACTCCTTTTGCAGATTGAAACCATTGGATCTGAGTTTACCGTGACGTATGTAATGCGCCCGAGTCTGTCGTTAGCATTTAGCCTAGCTTTGGCATTTAGCCTAGCCATCTCATTTGCCGCTAACGGAGCCCGTGGGGAGTAGCGCCACATTTTTTCCAGCGATTACATTTGCTCCGGCTTCAATTTCTTGATAGAACCAGACCGGATTACTTTACTATCGCATTCTTCTTCATTGCCAAACTACAACCTGTCCGTTCGGCTCAAACTCTTGACGTCAACCACAACTAACTACAACACCTGCCTTCCGTACTCTCTGATTGGTCGGTCGAAATTCAACCGATTTTAATCAAAAACACAAGGATCAGACCCAGACGTTACAATCCGTGGGAGTGTACGGATGAGAACTATAACTAAAATACACAGTGCTATAGACCTACGTTTACTGAATCTGGTTTTACTTTTGAATGTTCTAGAAAAACGGCAGCGAGTCCAAAGTGTTTCTGAAACTGTTGTTGTTTTGTGTTTTACAATTTCTATTTTTCTTGCTTTTTTTTCCTGATATGTTGCTGCAGTTCATGGTTTTACACTGGTCCAGACCAGAGCAGAGAGGATTCATGGTTTTACACTGGTCCAGACCAGAGCAGAGAGGATTCATGGTTTTACACTGGTCCAGACCAGAGCAGAGAGGATTCATGGTCCGAACCAAGTGGATCAGGTGATAATCTACTGGAGGAATGCTAACTCTATGATAAAATGCTAATGAAGCATTTAGCATTTTACTTTGGACCAGAGCAGAGAAAATGGCCTGAACCAAGCTCCACTTCTGCTTCTGTTTTTGTTTTTTTGCTGCTACTGGATATATTTACTGAATTTCTCTGACGGGGATCAATAAAATATCTAGCTACAGTATCTATCTATCTACAACAAGGACATACGTTTGATAATAAACACAAATATATGTCATGAAAAGCAGTGCCCTTTTAAATTCTTGAAAGAATAAAAGAATTACAAGGAAAATAAAACAAATCTTTAAAATGGGTTTATTCTTCACAAAATAAACACATTTCCAAATAATAGTGAATAAGTCCCACAAGTAAAACGCCTTAAAAACCAGAAAACAAAGACGACAATCATTACTTTTGTCTAAATACCATGAGTGGGGTTGATAAAAGAGCCTTTAAAGTCCGATCGTTCCAAAGATACTCTCATAAATAAAACCCAGCGGAGTCTAAACGATGGAAATAGCACATAATATTCCGAGGCCGTCTCTGAACTGAAGCAAATTGGAGATTGGGAAATGCATTTGCTGTCCTATCGAATGTTTAATTTGTGTGGGATCGATGGGTCGTATGCAGCCGGCACGTCTTGTTTGGAGCTAAAAAGCCTCAGTGATTATATTGACTTTCTCATCCTGAGCCAGAACTACTGCAAACAATCAACTCGCAATAAAAGAAGAAGTTAAAAGATTGTTGTAAAGTTTAGTTTGAGGAAAACACTGTAGCAGATCAGCCTTTGTCAAATAAAAATAAAAACTTCTGGAATAGACATTTTATGGATATATTAATAATCAAGCTATGGCCTCCAGCGTAGCCCTCACTCATTATCAGATATTCATTCATTCATTCATTTTCAACCCCTTCATTAGTCCATTTCTGGGTCTGGGGGTGACAATGCACCAGTCCCTCTGATCCTCTGCAGGGGGTGGGTCCACAGAGAGATGGCTGCTACATCAGTGGTGCCACAGTCTTGGTGTTTCAGCGCAAGCTTCAGGCAATGTGGGGTTAAGTGTCTTGCCCAAGGACAAAACGACAGCTGACATTAGTGGGAGCTGTTGGAGTAGGTCCCAAAGTAGGCTCGAACCCACGACCTTCCAGCCCAACTGAGGTACTGTCGCCCCCAATATCAGATAATTAAGTTCTAATTACTAAAACCTCCGGCTAACGCTGACCCTAACCCAGGTGGGAAAATGTCACATATCTCATTTAAAATCAAACTCAAGTTAAAAATAGGAAAAACTGCCCCCACTCAATGCTCCCTTCTGCATTATTATCTTATTGTGTGATTTTTGTGTTATTTGTATTATTATCTTTTTTAATCTATTTTGTTATTTTTATATCTATACTTATTTTTGCTTATTTTCTCCCTTCACCAAAATTATCATTATCATTTTTTTTAATCAAATATCTGTGGTTATACTGTCTGTGAAAGGCTTATTGATTCTTGTACGACTGCAAATGAAAAAAAAAAGACTCAAATGGAGGGATACTTTTGCTGTTCGTGTCTAAGTACGGTATCGGCCATGACAACGGTTGCTAAGGAGCTTTTGCTGGCTCGTTGCTCATAATCTAGTCCCACGCATGTAGGACACCTTTTACTGAATATTTCCCAGCTCCTGCAGTTGAAACATTTATCCATTCTGCTCTTGGTGAAACATTTGGAAAGGATGAAAGGAGACGGTTTGAAAATTGCTGACTGGGATTTTTGGGGGGAAATTTCCACAAATGTTGCGACGGTTTGAGCCCCGGGCGTTTGTGCGAACGAGGAGAGGAGCTGTCGGCTCGGTGAGTTCTTTGGCTCGGAGAAATGTCCCCACGAAAGAGAAATGTTTACATGCAGAGTGAGCAGAGAGAGGAGAGGATTCTTTACCGCATACACATGTTTAACTTGCAAATTCATGTTTGCACCGGCAACAAATACAATACACACTGCAAAACGTCTCCTGCTAGACACAATAAAAAAACCGACAAATACGACAACATTGCAAATTTTAAGCAAAAAAATCTGCCAATGGGGTAAATTTTTTTTCCTTGTTTAGAATTCTTGTTTTAAGACTTTTTTTACTTGTTTAGAAATTACTTTTTGCAGTGCACAATACTATCCACACAACTGGTTACACACTCTCTCAACACTCGCACACGTTGTTTTGGCCTTCGATCTTTCCATACTTTTCAAGGTCCTGTAAATCACACCCTGCAGCTCATGTATTAGCTTCATAGTGAGTCAAAGTGCAGAAGAAAATGAACTTTTTAAGGCTATTCTAATGCGTGAGATTGTCCCTTTGCTTTGACTTTTACGACTGATTCAAAAGTTAACACGAAACTAAACTAAGTCTGGGTCTCAGATTGCGGTCTCCCCTGTTGCGTTCCCACACGGATCACTGTCTTGTGTTGTATTGTGTTGTGTTGTGTTGTGTTGTGTGTGTTGTGTTGTGTGTGTTGTGTTGTGTTGTGTGTGTTGTGTTGTGTTGTGTGTACAGTTGGACAGCTGAGACTCACCGTTCTCCGAGTCCACAGAGAAGTAGGGCTGTCCCTGGAGGATGCTGTAAACCAACTTTGCGCTGTTCCCATAGGTTTGATCGTCAGCGTCTGTGGCAGTGATGGTCACGACAGACGTGCCTGAGAAAGAGAGGAGAGAGAGGGAAGGGAGAGAGGGGGGAGAGAGAGAGGGGAGAGAGAGGGGAGAGAGAGAGAGGAGAGAGGGAAGGGAGAGAGGGGGGAGAGAGAGAGGGGAGAGAGAGGGGAGAGAGAGAGGGGAGAGAGAGGGGAGAGAGAGAGGGGAGAGAAGGAGACAGAGAAGAAGGGAAAGAAGGGAGAGAGAGGGAGAGAGAGGAGAGAGAGGGAGAAGGGAGAGAAGGAGGGAGAGGAGAGAGAGGGGGGAGAGGGAGAAGGAGGGAGAGGAGAGAGAGGGGGGAGAGGGAGAAGGAGGGAGAGGAGAGAGAGAGGGGGGAGAGGGAAAAGGGAGGAGAGGGGAGAGAGAGGAGGGGAGAGGGATAAGGGAGAGAGGGGGAGAGAGAGGGAAAGGAGAGGAGAAGGGAGAGAGGAGAGAGAAGAGAGAGAGGGAGAAGGGAGAGAAGGAGGGAGAGGAGAGAGAGGGGGGAGAGGGAGAGGAGAGAGAGGGGGGAGAGGGAGAAGGGAGAGAGGCAGAGAGAGAGGGAAAGGAGAGGAGAAGAGAGAGAGGAGAGAGAAGAGAGAGAGGGAGAGAGGGAGAAGGGAGAGAAGGAGGGAGAGGAGAGAGAGGGGGAGAGGGAGAAGGGAGGAGAGAAGGAGACAGAGAAGAAGGGAAAGAAGGGAGAGAGAGGGAGAGAGAGGAGAGAGAGGGAGAAGGGAGAGAAGGAGGGAGAGGAGAGAGAGGGTGGAGAGAGAGAGAGGGGGAGAGAAGGAGAAGGGAGGAGAGGGGAGAGAGAGGAGGGAGAGGGAGAGAGGGAGAAGGTAGAGAAGGAGGGAGAGGGAGAAGGGAGGAGAGGGGAGAGAGAGAGAGGAGGGAGAGAAGGAGGGAGAGGAGAGAGAGGGTGGAGAGGAGAGAGGGGGAGAGAAGGAGACAGAGAAGAAGAGAGAGAGGGGAGAGAGAGGAGAGAGAGGGAGAAGGGAGAGAAGGAGGGAGAGGAGATAGGGGAGGGGGGAGAGGGAGAAGGGAGAGAGGGGGAGAGAGAGGGAAAGGAGAGGAGAAGGGAGAGAGGAGAGAGAAGAGAGAGAGGGAGAAGGGAGAGAAGGAGGGAGAGGAGAGAGAGGGGGGAGAGGGAGAGGGAGAAGGAGGGAGAGGAGAGAGAGGAGGGAGAGGGATAAGGGAGAGAGGGGGAGAGAGAGGAGGGAGAGAAGGAGGGAGAGGAGAGAGAGGGTGGAGAGGAGAGAGGGGGAGAGAAGGAGACAGAGAAGAGAGAGAGAGAGGGAGAGAGAGGAGAGAGAGGGAGAAGGGAGAGAAGGAGGGAGAGGAGATAGAGGGGGGAGAGGGAGAAGGGAGAGAGGGGGAGAGAGAGGGAAAGGAGAGGAGAAGGGAGAGAGGAGAGAGAAGAGAGAGAGGGAGAAGGGAGAGAAGGAGGGAGAGGAGAGAGAGGGGGGAGAGGGAGAGGGAGAAGGAGGGAGAGGAGAGAGAGGAGGGAGAGGGATAAGGGAGAGAGGGGGAGAGAGAGGGAAAGGAGAGGAGAAGGGAGAGAGGAGAGAGAAGAGAGAGAGGGAGAGAGGGAGAAGGGAGAGAAGGAGGGAGAGGAGAGAGAGGGAGAAGGGAGGAGAGAAGGAGACAGAGAAGAAGGGAAAGAAGGGAGAGAGAGGGTGGAGAGAGAGAGAGGGGAGAGAAGACAGAGGACACAGAGGATAGAGAGGAGAAAAAGCCAAAATGTTATTGTTTCTGCGACATTCCGGAGGAGGTGTAAACGTCAGGTTTTGGTGACAGAGAAAATCTCACAGTTCACTTTTTCACAAATGAATCGTCACCATTTCTTTTTTTTTCAGAAAGTTCAAACACACGAAACAGACGACAGTGAAGAGGAACCAAAAAGACCCGCGATTCTCCGACACCTGGACTCCTGACATAACCCTGCTGTCTACACACCGCCGCAGCTGAAGGTGGAGAGGCAGCAAAGTGTGTCACGTATAAAACACACCTGAATATAAGCCGCGGACCTCGACAGCTGCGGAAGAAGAACAAAGTGATAAACGACTGGACACGATGACAATGTTTTAAGTGGGTGTTTTCATAGACGGCTGTGGATTCGTGCTAAAACTTAGGGGTCAAAATAATGAGCCCATAAACTGCTCCGACACCAGCCCTAATCACATAAACATTTCATCTGGACTTCCCTTCACTTCCATGTGCTTATTTGGTTCTACAGTATCTAGCTATGTATATCTATCTATCCGTCTATCCCTCTATCTATCTGTCTATCTATCTATCTGTCTATCTGTCTATCTATCTATCTATCTATCTATCTATCCATCTTTCTACCTATCTATCTATCTATCTATCTATCTATCTATCTATCTGTCTGTCTATCTATCTCTCTATCTATCTATCTATCTATCTGTCTGTCTGTCTGTCTGTCTGTCTGTCTGTCTGTCTGTCTGTCTGTCTGTCTGTCTGTCTGTCTGTCTGTCTGTCTGTCTGTCTGTCTGTCTGTCTGTCTGTCTGTCTGTCTGTCTGTCTGTCTGTCTGTCTGTCTGTCTGTCTATCTATCTATCTATCTATCTATCTATCTATCTATCTATCTATCTATCTATCTATCTATCTATCTATCTATTTATCTATCTATCTATCTATCTATCTATCTATCCGTCTATCTTTCTATCTATCTATCTATCTATCTATCTATCTATCTATCTATCTATCTATCTATCTGTCTGTCTGTCTGTCTGTCTGTCTATCTATCTGTCTATCTATCTATCTATCTATCCATCTATCTACCTACCTACCCATCCCTCCCTCCCTCCCTCCCTCCATCCATCCATCTATCTATCTATCTATCTATCTATCTATCTATCTATCTATCTATCTATCTATCTATCTATCTATCTATCTATCTATCTATCTATCTATCTATCTATCTATCTATCTATCTATCTAGTTCAAATCTCAGGCGATGCTCTGACCAAATAAATGCATAAATACAAAATGGCTGCATCCAAATAAAACCCCGCTGTATGAATATATATGAAGTAGTGGCTTCTGGTCCTGTACTGTGTTTTAATGTCTTTCATCGGGGGTTTGTAAATCCCAGAGATATTGACTTTGTTCTTGTGTTACGCTTCTTTTCTTTGACCCTGTGCCACATCAGTAAATTGAACGCAGTCCTGTGGTACGCGGCGGCAGAGGTGGAAGAGGTGGAGGTTTTTAAAAAGCGTTTGTGAAGCTCTGATGGATGGGATTGAAGTGCACAGCGCAGTGACCTCTGTAAGAGACAACAGCTCTGGGTCTCTGCGGCTTTGGAGTGATATTAAAAAAACTCTCTCTCGACATAAATATCATGGTCACCTCGGCAACGTGGCGACAGAGGGCGGGGCTTATGACCACTGTCCTTGGAGGAGGATGTCTATAGGTTACTTTTGTTGTTAGTGCTTACATACAGTCTTCAACATTTGAAAACGTGTTATCGTTTGTTTACCATTGAAGGAACTATGCCTGATTTATTTTCTAATGAGTTCACAAAAAAAGAACATACTAGTTGTATTATAATCTATAATTTAATGTAAAACTTGAGCTCATTGATTCAGCTGTGTATGAATTCAGGCGTAAAAAGTGCTGAGTAGAGACTTAGCGTGACGCCCGCTCTCCTCCAATCACAGAACGAGGCTGCGTCCTCTAGCCTCTACAGCGCTGCTAAACACAGTAGCATGTTAGCATAAGTGGCTATAACTCCTCTGGCTGTAACTGCAGACACAGCAAAACAGCCCAAACACACAACAGTGAGGAAGAGAAGAGGAACTAAAGCAAAACATGATCAAAGAAGAAACCAAGCCCTGAACAGAGCTAGCTTACATCGTATCCTCTGGAGAGACTGGTCTATGGGAGAGACCTGCGGGACCGCCTCGGACTATCTACGCTCGGACTATCTACGCTCGGACTATCTACGCTCGGACTATCTACGCTCGGACTATCTACGCTCGGACTATCTACGCTCGGACTATCTACGCTCGGACTATCTACGCTCGGACTATCTACGCTCGGACTATCCATGCTCGGACTATCTACGCTCGGACTATCTATGCTCGGACTATCCACGCTCGGACTATCTACGCTCGGACTATCTACGCTCGGACTATCTACGCTCGGACTATCTACGCTTGGACTATCTATGCTCGGACTATCTACGCTCGGACTATCTACGCTCGGACTATCTATGCTCTGACTATCTACGGTTGGACTATCTACGCTCGGACTATCTACGCTCGGACTATCTACCAGAGGTGTGGACTCGAGTCATGTGACTTGGACTCGAGTCAGACTCGAGTCATGATTTTGATGACTTTAGACTCGACTTGACCAAATATAAAAAGACTTGCAACTCGACTTGGACTTTAACATCAATGACTCTGACTTTCACTTGGACTTGCGCCAATTGACTTGCAAAGACTTGCGTAACCCGGGCCATTTTTACCTTTCTCCGCATCTCTCTTTCTATCTATGCCGTCTCTCAGGCCCGTCGGAAGGGTTGTGCGACCTGTGCCGTCGCACAGGGCCTCGCACCACACAGGGCCTCGCAATCCTTCCTTTTTTTATTTTTTTATTAAATAAATATACTAGTTCAAGAGTCCCCAAAGGGCGGACTGCGCTCCAAATTCGGACCCCTAATCCCCTTTCTCTGGACCTCTGATTTCTTTTGTTCAAAAGTACATTATTACAAGTGAAGTCAAATTTTCACCAAAAGCGATTTGTAAACAGGCAGGCGCGAGGGCAGCTATCTACGCAGCGGGTCCTCCGAAAAAAAACTTTACGGAGCTGTCAGATAACTTTAGCAGTGTCTGAGTGAAGAAAGTAACGGGAATGAGCCCAGTGTACGGAGAGATGGATACTCGCGTCTTCCGTATGAGGAGGAGGAGAGAGGAGTGTGACCAGAGGAGGAAGAGGAGGAGCTGCGAAACAGGTGTGTGAGCGCTGTTATTGTCAATGTTGAGCCCGAATATCCACATCAAAAACATATTATAAAAGCATTAGCAAACACTGTATGTCCAACGTTCATGCTACTGTGAGTGCAGTGGATTTTGGGCATAAAAATGTGGTCAGAGTGTGTGGAGGAGGAGGAGCAGGAGAAGGAGCCTATGTTGTGAGTGTGGAGGCATGACAAAAACGTTATTTGATGAGGAAAAAAATAACAAATATTGACTCCGCCTCATAGCCATTTTGGCGCATTTTGCCGTAATCTAACAATTAGAAAAAGAAGAAGACTCCTTTTGGTTCAATCTTTTGAGTTGCTGCCATTTTGCCACAGGACGAAAGAGCCATGTCAGCTAAAAAGACCGCGACCAATATACCAATGCCAAGCGCGGTAACAGTTTGTGTGTGGGTGCGTGCGTGTGTGCGTGCGACGCTGCATTGGAGCGAGGACACACGTCTGCGCGCGTGCTGATCTCTTCACGCACAGCGCGAGGCGGTGCTGAATTCATGTCAAATATTATAACATGAAAAACTTTCCTGAGATCTGGGAAAAAGGTGTCAGGGCAGGGCCTCGCGTTTCAAGTTCGCACAGGGCCTCGCACCCCCCTTGCGACAGGCCTGCCGTCTCTGAAGAAACAAAGCCTCGCGGTAGTTGTAGCGCTCGCGCGAGAGTTCGAACGTGAGTTCCCCGCAGTTCGCGCAGCAACACTTCCCTAAACAAGCACACTGCATTCACCGGTGGGTGTGTTGTCGTAGGGGAGCTGGAAATGAGCGAGCTGCAGGTATTTATCGCGACCTAACGTCATATTTTGTTCTACAAACCGTAATTATATGCTTTCACTACAGGCGCCTCATACAATTGAATCGACGCAGTTGTCACACTGTGTGCCGTGTTTTAAAGAGGAACTGGTGAGTCAAACTAGCGCTAGCCTGCGCTGCTCTGTTGGCTCTTTCTTATATTTTTCTGTGTGGGCGCCGAGGCCTATTATTATGAGTATGTTTTTGCTGTGCTCCTCCTGCTAAAGTTTGCATACATTAGATAGTTGTTTTGATTATGTGCACTAAGCTAGATTAATATTTGCACTATTGTTTATGGTTCATTGATATGAGAATCAGTACTTTGACTGATTGAATTAATTTATATGAGACATTTTATTATGTAATGATATATTGGTAATTATGAGATATTACTAATGCTGGCCCAGTTCATACAGGCCAGGTTCCTTCCCCTCCATTGGTCCCTTCAGTCCTTTGGAACAATAACCACTATGGAACAAACTGTTAGTCCATGGGTCAGAGACCAACGAGAATGCACCAGCAAAATGATTCCTAACATTATTTTGTTTGCCTACAAAAGTACGTGGAGACCAACAAGAAACAAATCGCGGTCAAAAAGACTCGAGAGGACTCGAAAGTCAAACCGTAGGACTTGGGACTGACTTGAGATTTGTTGGCCTTTGACTTGGACTCGACTCGGGACTTGCCTGTCTTGACTCGTGACTTGACTCGGGACTTGAGGGCAATGAATTGAGACTGACTTGTGACTTGCTAAACAATGACTTTGTCCCACCTCTGCTATCTACGCTCGGACTATCTATGCTCGGACTATCCACGCTCGGACTATCTACGCTCGGACTATCTACGCTCGGACTATCTACGCTCGGACTATCTACGCTCGGACTATCTATACTCTGACTATCTACGCTCGGACTATCTACGCTCGGACTATCTACGCTCGGACTATCTATACTCTGACTATCTACGCTCGGACTGTCTACGCTCGGACTATCTACGCTCGGACTATCTACGCTCGGACTATCTACGCTCGGACTATCTATGCTCGGACTATCCACGCTCGGACTATCTACGCTCGGACTATCTACGCTCGGACTATCTACGCTTGGACTATCTATGCTCGGACTATGTACGCTCGGACTATCTACGCTCGGACTATCTATGCTCTGACTATCTACGGTTGGACTATCCACGCTCGGACTATCTACGCTCGGACTATCTACGCTCGGACTATCTATGCTCGGACTATCTATGCTCGGACTATCCACGCTCGGACTATCTACGCTCGGACTATCTATGCTCGGACTATCCACGCTCGGACTATCTACGCTTGGACTATCTATGCTCGGACTATCTACGCTCGGACTATCTATGCTCGGACTATCCACGCTCGGACTATCCACGCTCGGACTATCTACGCTCGGACTATCTACGCTCGGACTATCTATGCTCGGACTATCTATGCTCGGACTATCTATGCTCGGACTATCTATGCTCGGACCATCTACGCTCGGACTATCCACGCTCGGACTATCTACGCTCGGACTATCCACGCTCGGACTATCTACGCTCGGACTATCCACGCTCGGACTATCCACGCTCGGACTATCTACGCTCGGACTATCCACGCTCGGACTATCTACGCTCTGACTATCCAGTGATTGTTGAACAGCTAAAGTTGTGCTAATGCTAATGTTAGCATACAGATCGCAAATAAAACTAGATGGCTCCGTGGGATGAGAGCGTAGGGGACATGAGAAGCCTGTGAGCGAGTTGGGGGCGGGGCTAAACATTCAAACCTGCAGAAACGGGTATAGCTCCTTTAAGAAAGAACCCTGTGAGTCACTATTTGACTCTTTGGGCTGCGAGCCGATGGGCTGAGAGAGTGCTGTCCTCTTTTTTTCACTTTTCTGTCTTAAAAAGCTGATCTATGGATGTGACAGAGGCCAACATCGCACACACGGGAAAACTGGGTAATGCAGATTTTAGAGAGCGACTGTATACTAGATTAGATTTTAGATTTGTTTTGTGTTTTGATAGTTACGTAGCCCGACTTTAAACAGACAATGATGAATTTCCAGGTCATATCTAGATTTGGAGCATACAATTATAGAGGTGAAGAGGTAAATATCGATCTATGTAATTATGTTCAAGGTTTGAAGTTGAAAAGTCAAACAATTGAATCCTGTATGAACCGGAACAAAATAAACATGTAAAAAATGTGTTATTGAATAATATTTGAGTAAAGAAAACACAGCTCACTGCAAAAACACAACTCTCCAGTCCCTAAATAAACTGTCAGGAACCACACAATGACTTAATGCATTAAAAATATGAGTCTGGAGATGATTGAAGAGCTTAAAACAGCAGAGAAGAGCCTCTGCATCATCTCTCATTCTTTATGATTCTAATGCTATCTTGAGTCCAGCCTTTTGTATGCATTGTGCTGGTTTCTCTCTCTGGTCTTTCTCTGGGTCTATCTTCTGGTCTCACTCTGGTCTCTCTTTCTGTTCATAAAAAATCCATTGTCCATTCAAAAGAGTAAAGAATAAAGCCTCTAACCTCTAACATTGGAAATCAAATCCAATTAATGTTAAACCTTTTGCATACAATCTGATTTAACATAATTTTTCTAACGCGTTATCCACACGCGACATACTCTAACCTCACACAGCTTTAAAGGAGACTG